AGTAAGAGACCGTTTCTCTTCCGATCAACGTAGCTCCAAGCCCCCAGCCCAATGCGACCAGAAGGCAGTGTTCTCACAATTGCCTTTGTCCCAGTGTATACAGATTTCTTTACTTCCCTGTCATTTTTACAAAATCTCCTCACTAGCCAAGTGGACCGCTCCTTCTTGCTTTTGAATAAATCTTCTTCTGCATCTTCACAATTATCAGGGAAGTCCTCAAAATGGCTCAGAAAGGTCTTGGCAGGTGGACTGTCCATAAAATCCTCCCCGCAAAAGCTGTCACTTGAACATACTACATCGACCTTCGGGCAAGAGCCTTCAAAGCACAAGTGTTTGTCATTCAAGGGGTCACAATGATCATACTGCAGCTGCCTATTCTTACTGTCACAGTTACTTGCCAATTCCATCAGTTTACAAGTATACGCCATGTAATTGTTCTTTTGTTCCCCACCAACAGCAGGTAGTACACAGTTTCCACAATCATCCAAAATCAAGTTATCCGATAGGGGACAGAAAGTGTCTGACATTCTTCTGTCAACTTCATACTGAAAGTGAAATACTGCCATGTTGCTGTCAGGGTGTGCCCTGCCCGTCTCTGTGATGGTTGACTGAGTTCCTAATGGACTAATAATGCCCGCGGGAGGTCTGTCTATCTCCAGTTGAATTCCAGGGAACACCTTTCTTTCCAGTGAAGAAGGGATTCCAGTTTCCAAACACAGGCCTTCCTCTGTGGTAGAATCACACGTTTCATAAAACTGGCTCTGAGGAAGGCCACACTGACGGTTTTTCAGTATGTTGTTGCAGTTAATGTTAAGGTTTTTCACAGAGTCTGGTATGCTTTTCTCCCAGCACTCTTCATAACTGTTCTCATCACTCATTATTTTCTCCCTTGCTACTGAGAGAATCTGGGGCAAGTTGCTTCCAGAAGATTCTTCTGTAAGTTTGGTCAGTTGTGAGATGGTATGAGAAGTCTCCCTGCTCTGCCTGACAGGATGCGCCTTTGGAACATGGATGTCCGAGACCTTATCATTACTTTCATCTACAGCCGACTGAGCAGATATCACTTTTCGCTGAGTCACAGGTCTGAGAACAGAAGCTGCCATTTCTTCAGAAGTCATCTTGACCAATGAGCAGCCTTTAGCTATTGCTGTTCCTCCCCGTTTGTGATCATGTCAAAATGTTAATAAAACTATGGGTTATTAAAATAATCTCAGGTGTATAAGCCCTCTGAGAAACAAAGTGACAATTCCTTCATTTAGGTGCATTAAGAGCCACATAAATTTCCCCAGTTACCACTTCCTACCATGTGCAGTATGCTCTTCGAGATCAAGGTTTTAAGGTGGTAGACCAATTTTCTTTCTTTGGTCATTTGAAGCAATTCTTTCGAAGACTTTTATTCGACATTGCATTCTGTAACCTCTGATTCATCACTGGCTTACAGTGATTTAAAAATCCAGTTCGAATGTATCCTGTGAGAGAAAGGGATAACATCAAACACTGTGGCACTAAACAGATTTTCAAAAATGAACTCATAATTCTAAGCTAGAGCAAAATATGAATCCATTTTGAGTAAGGAGTTTTGCAATCAGAAGTTGGTATCATTTTTCTGATTCAATCTTTCAGAACTTCTGTTTCCAGCCAGAATGGAGTAACAGAGACCAGATTTATCTTCCTTCCTTAAACAACTGAAAAAAAATCAGAAAAAAATAATGAAATAATGTTTTTCAGATATTGAACAACAGGCAACATAGAACAATGATCCCTGAAAGAAGAAAAAAACAAATAAGGTGAGCTCTATAAATGCCCTAGCTTACAGCTTGAGAGTTTTTAGGCTACCGGGGAGGGAGGTGGGACCCAGATGAAACCCAACAGTGTGTCTGATTTAAAGAGAAGTAGGTGAGAATTCAACGAGGCCAAGGAAGTTAGAGAAAGAAGACACACGAAGCAGAGAGGAGCAAAGATAAGGATGATAGCAGGCTTCTCATAGAAACAATGCAAGCCACAAGACAGTGGAGTAAACCTTTGAAGTACTGGCGGAAAATAAATTAATTAAATAAATAATAAATAAATATATACACTGCCTACTTAAGACTTCTATACTCGGCAAAAATCTTTTGAAAACAAAAAATAAGGACTTTTTAGACATATAACGCTGGGAGAATTCATCACTAGCAAACATACATATAAGAAATGATAAAAGAAGTCCTTTAGGCAGAAGGAAAATGATACCTGATAGAAATCTGAATCTATAAAAAGAAATAAAGAGTATGAAAAATGTTAAATATGTGGATAAATACAATTTTTCCTTACTTTTTAAATAACTTAAGATAACTGACCATTTAAAGCAAAAATAGTAACAAGGTATTGTGGAGTTACTAACAAATGCAGAAGTGAAATATATGACAATAATAGCACAAAGGTCAAGAGAGAGGAAGTGGAAATATATTGTTATAAGATTATTTTCTACATGAATCGGGACAACATTACTTAAAGTCAGGTTGTCATAAGCTAAAGATGTATACTATAAGCCCCAGTGCAACCACTTTAACAAAAAAAATACAGGAAATAAGTAAAGATATTAGAATCTTAAAATTTTTTTCAAATGATAAAAAAGAAGGCAGAAAAAAGGAAAAGGTGAACAAAGAACAGATGCAACAAATGGGAGACAAATGATAGATTTAAGCCTTTCAAAGAGCATCTTTGGACAGTGTTTCTAATTTTTTCCCATAAAGTATATACATTTTTACCTCCCTCTGTTTCATTTGAATAAATTATTCAGTTGAATGTCAACTGACATAAACATTTTCAATTTGTGAAAGACATTATTTTAAAAAATAATTTAGCCTATTTTATTCTCCAAATTATTGAACCCTGCTCTCTGTTGGGAACTGTGTAATGGGCTAGAAAGCCAGGACCTGCTTGCAAGTCTGTTAAGGAGAGAGAATTGAACAGATTTCAGTCCAATGTGGCAAGTGCAATTATAAAGGATATTCAAGGCACTCTGGGCCCACAGGGTGCCCATTACACGTATACTGTTCCTTTATAGGTAAAGCTGTTCTTCCCAAGGCAACTAATGGCATTCAGGCTCTGCTGTCAACAGCAGATTCGCCCTGTCTTTGCTCTTTGCCACACAGATGTCCCTCTTCTCCTTCTTTCCTCCTTTTCTGCTCTTCCCTTCTTCTCTTACATATATGTCCCCTCAAGCATGGACAGTCACAAATTCTCACCTGCTTTCAGCACATGCAGGTCTTCACAACTACCCTGAAGGATCAGAGGACACCCTATCGATCATATACATCACAGGCAACCACCAACCAGAGCAGCAACGTCCTAATACAACATCCTAACCCTTTCTACCTTTTGTGTCTTCCTTCCAACTTGGTTTCTTTTTTATTTTCTTTGGAAAATGCCTCTCTTATTTCTGTAGATATATGCTCAGTATAAAACAATTCAAACAATGCAGAAAAACACACACTTTTTTTTTTTACCTTAACACAAATTCCACCACCCAGAGATAACCATGATTGATACTATGAGGAATCTCCTTCCAGAATGCTCCCTATGTATTAACATACAGAGATATAAGTATATAATTACACAAATACCAGATCATACTGTACTTGCTGTTTTATACCTGCTTTTAAAAATTCAAAACATGAACAACTTTTCATGTCAAGAACTATACTGAATACTTTAATGGCTTACGGCACCAGCTTTCAATATCTTTGTTCCATTTTTTAGAGGAATGTAATTTTTCAAGCCAAAGCCTTCAGATTGACAGTTCATCCGTCCTTTCTAACCCATGAGGAAGGTAATTCAAGGTAGGTGCTGCTTAAGTCCTGTTCTAAGCACTTTATAATTCTGATCTCACGTAATTCTCACTCAACTCTACCAGATAGTGTGATGGTTTTAAAATATGTCCACAAATTCTGTGATACTCCTCCTTTCAAAATGTGGAGACTGATTCCCCTTTCCTTGAATGTGGGCTGTACTTAGTGACGTCCTTCTAACACAGACAATGTCATGGAAGTAACAGTGTATGACTTCTGAGAATAGCTCATAAAAGTCATCGGAGTTTCTTCCTGGCTCTCCCTCTCTTGCTTTCTCTGGGGGAAATCAGCTACCATGTCATAAGGAGAGTTCCCTGTGGCAAGAACTGAAGCCTCCTGCCAATGGCTACTTGAGTGAGCCATCTTGGAAAGTGATCCTCCAACCTCAGTCAAGGCTCCACATGAAGGCAGCCTTAGTCGACTTCTTGACTGTAACCTCACCAGTGACCCAGAGCCAGAAGCACTCACCTGAGCCCTTTCCAAACTCCTGACCCACAGAAACTGTGAGATAATAAATGTTTCTTGTTTTGAGGCATTAAGTTTTGGGGATAATTTGTTGCACAGCAATAAGTAACTAATATAGATGAGTTCCATCATTATCCACGTGTGAGAGATTAAAAACCCAAGCAGAGAAAAGCTAAGTCACTTGCCAAAGATCACACAGCTGGAAAATGGTGAAGTCAGGATTCAAATCCAAGAAGCCTGACTCTAGAACCTACGCTCTTCTCCATAGTTATGCTGCTTTCTTTGCTCTCTAGTCTAAAACCCCACAGGTTTGAATTTCTGATGTCCCCTGGCCACAGAGATTGATGGCTCCTGGGAGGATCCCCTTTTATTTGCATTTATCTCTGGAAGAGGCTGAGGTTTCTGTTTTGCCTCCAGGTGTAACCAGGACTGAGCAACATCCCAGGAAAATGACTCCCTGGAGCACTGACCTGGCTCCATCTCATGTCATTCCTTTATTCGACAAATATTTATTGAGTATAAAATTACATGAGGCAAGGATGTGCCCCTGATTTCCTTACAAGCGAATGCATCATCGGTTAAGATACAGTGCAAATAAGGTGATAATGATCTGGGTTAACACAGAGGAAGAGCATCTAAATCAGATGGTGGGCACAAGGTGAGAGTGACTGCAGGAAGTATTTCTTGGAAAAGATGATGACCGAGCTGAGGTATGAAAGACAAAACGGAGTTAGCTAGAAAAGAGGTGTACGGACTTTTACGAGAAGACCAATTGTGGACTCTCCTAGAGAGAAACAGTAAGACACTGGCGCCTGGCAATTCCGGCAAATATTTTAACCACTTTGCGGTTTGATTTCCTCTCCTGTAAAATTGAAATAAAATCACCTACTCCATAAAACTGTGAAGGAAATGTTCTAAAAACCAAAAGTTCAGTGCAAATGTTTGTTATTCTATGCCTTGTAAATGTCTTGACGAGAGAAGATAACCAGAGTTTAGCAACTCTGTTGTATTTGTGACATGGTGTTGAATTACTTTTGCCAGATTCACACACTCCACTCCTCAGGTCCAGTCAAATTTGAATTTCTATTCTATAACTGGGATTGACTCCCTGAATTTCAGCTACATGACCACAGCTGGTTATATGATCAATCTCGAACTGCCCTTACCACATCTATAACATTGGAATGAAACATACATGTTGCAAATGTCAGCAGTGCCTGGCCCATCAGTAAATGTTAATTTTCTACCTATCTCCTCTAGGTTGTCTTTGAGGGAAGTTGGGTTTGGTTAGAGTTATAGTTAGCATTAGACTGTTAACTGAAGAAAAGCTGAAGCCCGAATGAAGATCAGAGTCTAACAGATTTGAAAAAGAAAGGGATGGAAAAAAGGATTCTTCATTTCTTAATGTGCACAGGTTTGTGGGGAAGATTGGAGAAGGGCCAGCCTGGGAGAGGTCAAACAATATGTGAGTTAAGAATATGGCAGAACAAGAGAAGATTTGTCAAGGCAGCATTTCCAAGCTAGAGATGAATTGGGATAGATAATGTGCCAAGGGAAATGACTGGCCAGGAAGTAAAGTTATGGAGACGCAGGGGGTGCTAGAAATCCTAGCCAATCCTAGCTAGAAATCCTAGCCAAATCTTGTAGTAAGACAAGAAAAAGAAATGAAAGGTATAAGAAGAATCAGGAGTGTCACAGAGTAAGTTTTCAGCTTCAGATAGGGGAATATCAGTCATAAATAACCTTGTTGGTAAGTTTCCACGGGCTAAATCAGGGGGCTAGCAAACTACAGCACCAGGCCAAAATCTGGCCTGCTATTTTTT